ACCTGGACTCCATGCTTACCTCTCCTGGTAAAGTCAGCTAACATGCAGCTAGATTCATTATACCATAATATTTCATTGAAAAAATCCCCAGAAAATTAGATTTTCCTGTTCATTTGATAAAGAGAAGTAGAGCATTTAACAAAATGTCATGTGGCACTAAAAGAACAAGGAGAACCAGGAAAAAAAGATGCTCCTTCTACTCCACTGTAATCATCTGCTACCTTGCTCACTGATTTTTCAGTGGCAAACCATGCTTCAGCATCTGCTGTAGAAATAATTTCATCTCCTGACTTTTATAATGACACACTGAAACGTTCTTTTGTATTTTTATGATAATCCCAAAGTAAGTACCAGAAGAAAATATTGACTCCAAAGGCAAAAATCACCCGTTTTCCTCAAGCCAAGCTGCAACTGACATGGGAGGCAAATGAAAAAGGCATGTTGGAACCTCTGCATCATTCCCCCAAGCTTCAGTGTGAAGAAAATATTGACTGTTTCCCCCCACACACCTCAGAAATGCTGCACAAAAAATGTTGCCAGTGGTATTGACTCTTTTGCATGTCTTTCCATTCATAAAATGTGAATTCCATGATGGGAAAGGTGGGAGAAGGAGTGGTAAGACTTGAGAAAATCAATTACTCAAAAGAATGCTCAAAATCTACCCTCATTTAACCAAATACTGTTGAGGGACAAACCCAAAACTGTTACATGCAGTGGGAAACAACCCCTACCTGAGCACTAGTTAAAATGGCAGTGAGCTTTGAGAGGGAGGGAGAAAGCAAACTCAGGTGAACAGAGGCTTAAAGAAATGCAGCTCACAAGGAGCCTGCTGAAAAAACAGCTGCATCTAAGGCAGGAGTTTAGATGCTGCACTTTGGCACATGGTTTCATTTAGGAACCATCTTGATTCCCTGCATAATGCCTTTTTACTTACAGAAAACAAGTGATGACTTCTGAAATTACTTCTTAGAGCAACACTTCAGAGACAAATAAGTCAATCAGTAAGAAAATTGCTTTGGAAACTTCACTGTTGCCCACAACCCAAAAGTGTTCCCTTCCCCTCCAAATCCCTGGTGTACGTGGTTTGGGTTTTTCCCCCCAGACTCCTGCTTCCCCTGTCCTTCTCTCCTGCTCTTGGCTTGAACAAAGGACATTCTCAGCTGCTGCTCTCATTCCTAAAGAGAACTCCTGGTACCCATCCCATCCTGGATGCCATCAAGATACCATTAATATTGCTGGGAAAACATGAAAGTGAAGGTGAACCAACCTACATTTCACACTGCTGGGATGGTTAGGGAGAAATACCATATGAATGAAGGAAACTTTGGTATAGAAATTTATTTCTTTTGTCGTGGTAAACAGGTGGTTGTTGCAGAAGTGTTGGGAAAGGAAGAGGAGGACTGTGGGCAGGCTGAGTTGCAGCTGAGGTGGCTAAGGGCTGTGTTAATTACTGTTTGTTCCATTTCATAGAATCATCATAAAATGGGTAGGAAGGGACCTCAAACATCATCCAGTCCCAACCCCCTGCATGGGCAGGGACACCTCCCACCAGCCTAGGCTGCTCCAAGTCCCATCCAACCTGCCCTTCAACACTGCCAAGGATGGGGCAGCCACAGCTTCCCTGGACAACCTGGTCCCTCCCCAGCTTTCCTGGAGGCCCCCTAAGAGTTGTGGGGTACAAGTAGGTTATCATATTAATGCAGGGGGGGCTGCTTGTCTTCAGTGACTGTGTGTCTGTGGATACCCACACGTGTAAGAGCTGGAGAGGGAAGATCAGGAATCAGGTATTTGAGAAGGTGCTTTGTTCATAAGCTCCAAAATTAACCTTTTCATTAAAAATACCTCCAATCAGTCAGCAGTAGTGTGACAGTGACAGAAATGTGCTGTCAGGTAGGGGCACAGCCTGTGGTGGCAGGGAAATAGCTGGATTGGCAGCTGCACTTAATAAGGTGCTGCAAACATCATCAGGCGAAAATCCCTCCAGATGCTCTGAATCCTAATCATGTGTTGGGAGTCATAGCAGCTCCATCCCTGTCTCTACCCTGACAGTCTTCAAAGCCTTCTCTGGGTGGCTGGGATTAGTTTGCTCTGCTTTGCTGGACTCATGTCTTCTCTCAAAAATCGCCAGCCTTTATCAACCCCATGATGCAAAATTACTTCAGTTAAATCTGCCCTTTCCTGTCCCCAAAAATGGGTCCAAATGGTGTGTCTACCACTTAGAAGGAAGAAAAAAAAGCACTGTTGTAAATCTTTGTCATTCAAAAATTGGGAAATAATTAACTTCTCCCCAGAGAAAGCTCCTTAAGCTTGTAGTGCAGGGCACAGAGCAGTGTCTTGTCAGCTGAGCACCTTTATCTGCTCTGCCCCTTCACCTCTCTGCAGCTCAGGAGAGCCCAGCTGTGTGTCTGAATGCAGCAGATGCTCCCGTGCAGCCTGACCCCCCCAGTGACACCAGGGCAGGGGAATCAATGCAGTCCCTGTGGCTCTTCAGGCTCTGCAAAGCCTCCCCTAGCAAACAGAAGAGCTGCTTTGCTAATTGATATTGATTTGCCAGTTCATTGCAGTCAGCCGTGGCAGAGGGGGAGTTCCAAGGCCATTTCCATTGAAAGAATATACTGAAGTGTGCTTCAGATGAAATGTGGGGTGGGTGTAGACACAGGCAGGAGGCTTTTTTGTTCCAATTATATGCCTTCTGAAGAAAAAGAAACTAATGTTACATAATGTAACATCAAAAGACTCTTTATTTACCTGGCTGGCCTGCATCTCTGACCTTATCAAAAGAGCTACAGCTTGAAATGCTTTCAGGTTTGACAGTTTTTTGGGTTTTTTTCTCCTGTCTCTGAGATTAACCTTTGCATTGGTAACCTGCACATTAATAAGCAGTTTATAGCACTAGTTTTACAGCTTAATAAATCAGGCAGCAGTAAGGAATTTTATTTCTGCTGCTAATAGCATACTGGAGGCAGAAAGGTGGGAGCCAGAGGGATCTGCTCTGTGCCTGTTTGAGTCAGAGTGAACTTACCATCATCATTTGCTGTAAAAAGCTTAGGAGGTCAGTGTTCAGTACAGTCACCACTCCATGATCCAGGGTGGCTCAGTCTGGACCAGTATTTCTTCCCCCTTTTTTGCACAGTGGAAAGCCTAGGGCTGCACAGCAGAGCTACTGCCTCACCATGCTGAGAGGCAGCATTTTAATCTCAAAAGAGACTGGCCCCTCCACAGGAAAGCAAACCAAAAGCAGCAGTCACAGCAGTGGAAAATGTTACAAGAAGGGAAGGAAGAGTGTGTCTTGACCCTTTGGGCTGTGGGTATGGTTGGCCTTTGGCATCTTTGTTCCAGGTGATGTAAGCTGGAGCATGAGCAGCCAAGCCAGCAGTGTGGTGCCATGGTTGGATTAAGCTGAGAGAAGAAGTGGGAAAGAGCAGAAGTATAACCCTTAGGAGAAAGTAAGGGAGGAATCAGAGAGCCCAGGGTCAGGGGGAAGGCAGTCTGAATAGCAACTCCAGGGAAGAGGCAGAGGTACAAGTAAACTTCTGACCTACACTCATGCAGCCAGTTGCTGCAGAAAAGCTGCAAAGCATCAGGGCAAGTAAATCTTCAAAACTTCAAAAGACCTAACAAAAGTCTTCTTTTTTTTTTTTGCTTTCCCCCACCAATCAATAATGAGTAATTTACCCACTGTATTTTCATAATTCCCTATATCAAGTGCTGTTATCTAGAACTTTTTCTAGGATGTTTGACCAAATATTTATCCCCCAAAAGAAGTTTGTAAGACAGAGATGAAGGGCTGATTGTTGGTCTGTTGTTGTGTGATGGTAAAGGCTTGGGTGCAAAGTTAGGATTGCACCCTGAGGTTCTGGCCTTGGGATGGGAAAACACGGTATGGGATGGAGTATGTGAAGAATACCTGGAGGCTGAAAGAGGGAAGTCCAAAAATACTCTCTGAAATGACAGCAGGTTTAGATTCTTGGCAGGATTTTGAAGATGAGTGCACAACAGAATAATGCTTTTTAGATTCTGCTTCTATTTAGGAGACCATCTCAATGTATTCTCATCTGTGTTTTAGTCTCGCTTCTCTCTGTTGAAATTGCTTATGTTGCTGTTTTAAATACATTGGTACAGACTCTTTGTTCATTCTGAAGTAGTTACAGTTTCCTTGATGAAACAGCATTTCAAAACATTACTCATGTTCCAAGGAAGGAGCATTTGAACAATAGGAGAGGAAGAGTAAATTCTTGCTGTTTCAGGAGGAAACTCCTGATTTATACATGAGGAAACTGTGCTGAATATGAGATGCTCACTTTTCAGTGTGTGTAGGGTATGAAGAAGATGAGATGCTGAAGTGCCAGGAGTGTAATCTTTGCTTTCTCTTGCTTGACATGAGCCACAGTGCTCAGTCAATCCAAAACAAGTTCCTGGATACTCACAAGCTGTGTATGTGTACTTGGGTTGCAGCTGATTCCCTGAAAAGCATCTTGGCTTTAGTAGCAAAATGGTTTGGCAGGAGAGTTTTTGGATCTTTCTGAAGAGCAGAAAATCCTGTGGAGAAGGCTTTACAGTGGTTGCTGTTTAAATACTAGAGGTTTATCTATTAATGAATTTTCCTGCATGCCTTTACTGGGTTTTCTTAGTAGAAGTGAGTAGCATAAAATATGCTTAGTAATATGGTCTTAATTTTACTTGCCTGCTTATCAGTCCGTGGTGGTTCTTGTCTTTCTGTTATTTTTTACTCTTTATTCACCTGCTTTTCCATTTCCCATCTCAAGGAACCATTTTCTCTTGATATAGTCACCACTGGTCAGACTTCTTACTGGTTTTTGCCTTTTCTGAGGTGCAGGTTTAACCTTTGCTTTTTTTTAATGTGTCTTTCTGTAATAACAGATCCTCTCACTTTGGCAGCCTAATAGCTGGCTGAAACTGCTAACCTGGGGAGTAAGTTTCAGCAATCTGCTGTTCAGGCAACTGGATGATAACACAAATACTTCTGTTCACTTCTGCAGACCCCCACCAGTGAGTGAAAATGCCCCCAAAGGAACCGTGGTCGCTGTTGTTACAGCAGCTGCCTTGAACCAGACAATTGTCTATTCAATTGTTTCTGGAAATGAAGAGGGTAAGTATTAGTATTACAGTCTTAGTAGTTGTGCTGACTGCTAGTATTTTGTCTCAAGTCTCCAAGAAGCAGTGGTTAGAAAGAAAGCTGCTGAGCTGAAATCCCAGCTCATCTATACAAGCAGGAGGGGCTGCTATTATGAAGCCATGATTAAGCAGAATTTCAATAGAAATTAAAATACAATGACATTCTCATTGATGCAAAAATTCACATGGGGTGAATCCATGGCATAATAGCTTTGATGGAGCTGTGCTTCTTAGAAATCTGTTTTAAGACATTATAGAATTTGCCATGCTGTAGCTACAGGTATTTATTAGATTAAAGCTTGACATTCAAACAAAATGTCATTGCTGCATTTGCATCCCTCTTGGTTACCTTCCATGATCCACCTTGAAATAGCTAAGCAAAATTATCATAGAATTATAGACCAGTTTGGATTGGAAAGGACTTTAAAGACCATCTAGTTTCAGCCCCCCTCTGTGGGCAGGGACACCTCCCACCAGACCAGGTTGCTCCAAGCCCCATCCAACCTGCCCTTGAGCACTTAATTACAGTAAATTATATAGGGGGATGTGGAAGAATTCCCTGTCCTATCCTCCTTTTTTTGTGACATTGGGCTGTTTGTCTTGGCAGTGTGTCCTCCAGCTGTTTTTTCCAGCACCAAGTCAGATGGAGCTGCTGTGCTCCATCAAAGAGCTTCAGAGAGAAGTTCAATGGGCTTTGGAGGCCTGGGGGAGGAATAGGAAGGGTTTTCCAAAGCCAGGGTAGAGATTAGTGTCACTAAAATAGAAGCACTCAGGCATTGAAAAGAAGTGTTTATGCATCTTAGTTACTTCTGGTTTTGCTGGCTTTCAGATGTGTTTGCTATTAACAACAGAACAGGTGTGATCTCAGTCAAAAAGCCTCTGGATTATGAAAGTGTGACAAGTTACGAGCTCCGAGTTCAAGCCGACTCCTTGCAAGTGGTACGATCCAATCTGCGTGTCCCTTCCAAAAGTAAGTCTGGAAATCCTTAGTTTTAGACCTCTTTCCAACATCAATTTGTCTTGTTAGTTTTCTAAGGGTGTTGTTCACTGCACTCGGGCTACTGACCTTGTTCTGTGATCAGACACTCAGGGGTGATGATGGTGTGTGAGCAACACAGGGTGCGTTTGTGGATTGGGCAGATTGAGTCCTGAGCTGAAGCCTCACAGATCATGTCAGTGTTGCACAGTTGTAGGTCTCCCTGATACAGGCAAGAGGGAGATGGATGTATGAGCAGAGTGCTGAGGGCACAAACTGAACGTTCCTAGTGTAATTAGGGCTTTTTGTGTGGAATGTCACAGTTACTTTTCATGAGAATGTTACACAGCCCAAGCAGAGAATTCTTTCCTGCTGGGCTGGTGAGATGGTAACAAATGTTGGGACTCTGCCAAGAAGAATGGGGAGCAGACACTCAGCAAGAGTGACAGGAAGAAAAAGGCTCCTTCAGCACCCCTGAGAGTTGAGTGGGGTTTATTGCACCCCTGACTGAGAGCCAGCTGGAGGCAAGGACCTGCTGTGACAAAGACAAGAAGGTTCTTTGCAGCACCTCTAGCCAGGATGGAGTTTGTGTACAAACTGATTTGCTTCAGCTCTGCCTTATGGTGAGGGTTTTCTTTTTTTTTTCCCATTTAGTGGTTTTCTTTTTTTTAATAAAAAAATTTTGAAAGGTCTTTTGATGATTTTTATCACCCTTCCTCTAAGGAAAAGGTCTGGGAAGTCTGGCTTTCAAATGTCAGGCTCACTTAGTGTTCTGTCCTATTCCATACAACTCATTATTTAATCCACAGTTGGGCCCTAGTGAAAAAATCAAACAGGGTTTGTTGTCTCAAGTTCTTTTTTTCTGTATTTTTTGGTCTTTGTGGGTCTCAATTTTTCCCTGCTCTGCCTAAGAAGCATCATGGATGCAATGAAGAGAAGCCTAGAAATGTGGACTATTCCACTGAGAGAAGGGCAACAAGTAACTGGACTTTTGTTTAAAGGCTATGAAAGTATAACCTCATCTCATTTCAAATGGAATGTAAGTTGAGTTCAAGTCATTTGTTCTGCAGTCCCAGTTTTTCCAGGATGAGCCTTGGGCCAGATCTTTCACTGCTGGCTGGATCTTTTTTCTCCTCTGCACAGTGTTAACCATAGAGCACATCTTTAGCACTGGAAACAAGCAGGCTCACCCTGACCAAAAACACCCTTGTGAAGCACAGACTCACTGACTGGTTTGGGTTGGAAAGGACCTTGAAGACCATCTGGTCCCAACCCCCTGCATGGGCAGGGACACCTCCCACCAGCCCAGGCTGCTCCAAGCCCCATCCAACCTGCCCTTCAACACTGCCAGAGATGGGGCAGCCACAGCTTCCCTGGGCAACCTGGGCCAGGCTCTCACCACCCTCACAGCAAAGAATTTCTCCCTCATATCTCATCTCCATCTTCCTTCTTCCAGCTGGAAACCCTTCCCCCTGGTCCCATCCCTCCCTGCCCTTGTTGAGTTTTAGCCAGGTCAAATACTACTGCAGAGTTTCAGGGCACTGACTTGATGAACGGCAGTGGAAGGAGATGAGACGGAATTAATGCACCACTGTGGACTTTGGTGACATTGAAATGATGAAGCACATTGGAGATAGGTGACTTTGAGTGCACTTTTCTAGAGTTATGTGACACTGAATTAATGCACTGCTCTGATATTGCTGCCAGGTCTGGTGTTGGATACCAGTGAATTGGTGAACTGTTCTGGAATTTGGCAGGGAATTGATGGACCTGCTCCCGAGCTGCAGTGCTGAGCCCTCCTGGAGCTAGATAACACAGCACTGAGGAACTTCTCACCCACAAATCACTGCTGAGTTTTACAAAACTCAGAAGCTAGGTACCAAACTGGTTTTAGTTGCATGGTATTGTAGAAGGTAATTATATAGGAGTTTGAGTTTTCACTGTTGCAGTGAAGTGGATGATACTGCATGAAGTGTAACTGAGCTTGTTGTCAGTGATAGTGCAGGAATAATTGAACAAATAAATGAGGAGAGAAAGTAAATTGAGATGTCCTGTGGATATGAGAACATATAACTGGGGACTTACATAGGGTTTTTAAAATATGATGTTAAATCATTCAAAATCACACTCTTACTTTCAGCAGAATCAAACTCCTTAAATGAGTTACTTTAACTGAAACTTCATGAAACAGCAGTGCATTTTTACTTCATTTGAATGGAAGAAAAGTTAGGTTTTCTGATGATAGTGAATTTAAAAGGTTGGAATTCTGGCTTGAGGAAGCAGAACTGGTGGTGCTGAGCCTTCAGAGACCTTCAGTATTAATGGACTTCTCCAATTCAGTGAAATTTAGCAGCCTGTTCTTTTCATCTGTCTACTCTTTGCTTCTTAGATTGTCTGTCACCATAGACCATAGTCTATTAGGTCAATTTAGGATTGTGATTATTAGCTTCCAAATGGAAGCTTTCAGTTCTCCCCCAACGGGTATGAAGAGGAAAAAGGAAAAGTGATGTATAAGGGGGACATCCCAAACCTGTGTGGCAGGACATGTGTTGCAACTGGAAGGTGCTGCTCTGCGACCTGTCGTGGAGCAAGGAGCTAAGGAGCTCCTTCCTCCCCAGAACAGCTGTAAGTTAGTGAGCTGAAGGGGATGCATCAGTGCAACTCACCATTTACTAAACCAGAAGTACTCCTTGAGCAAGAACGAGAGAAGCATCACCTTTTAGCTCATTTGATCACTGCCAGCTGTTCACCTAGTTTCCCTCAGCATCTCACTGCCCTGCAGTTGGAAAGCCAGGGAAATGCAGGCAGAGCAATGACCTGGTTGTGGCAAGGCAGGAGGGACAGGAGGAAGCAGAGGGATCTGAGGGAAACCAGGGGGAGCAGTGAAGAGAAATTGCTGCCTAAACAGTGAGGAAGAGCAGTGGAGCAGACAAGAAGGGGAGAGGAGAAGGGTTTGCCACCAAAGTCAACACGGTCCCACTTGTAAGAATCAAAGCATTAGATCTGGTCCCTGTGCCTGAGAGGGGAAACATGTCCTGGTGGCAGACACCAGCCCTCCCTGCTTTCATCTGAAGAGAAGGGTTTCTTTGCAAGATAGCCAGAATACATTTGCTTTTGAACACCACAGAGAGAAGGGCCCTTCACATTCCTCTGAGTGCAGGCGTGGAGGGTTCAGCCTCATGTTTTCTGGTGTTCATTTGCCACATCTCAGGAGAGCACGTCCTTTCCTGGCCCAGCTCCACCCTCTCACCCTGCCCCAGCAGCTCCCATTGCCCCCTTCTCTTGACTGATTCTTGCCTTCTGCGTGGGGCTTCCCCTCTCCTCCATGGCTGCTCAGCAAGGTGGCCTCTGGGCTGTTCCTGTCCCTGTCTGCAAGTGGATGTGGATGCAAACAGATTGTTTAAAAATTGAGCCTTACAGGAAAAAGTGCTGTCGGGTGGCACAATGACATCCCTAAAGTTTGTCTGTGTGAGCAGCTTCCTGCTCCATCAGGTATTGAGAGGGAGGCCAGAGGGAGTGTTTTTGACTTGCAGGTTCTCTGTTGTAGATTTTGCTTTGTTGTAATTGTCTCTAACACTGACTGTGAGATGCTTCTGCTTCCCAAGTAAGTCATCTTCTCCTGGCAGGGGTGAAAAAGGGTTTCTTGTCTCATGGACTTGTAAATGCAGTGGAACTCTCCCCTGCATCCCTGATCTTGTCACCTGCATTTTTGTTATGAAACTCCTGGCATCACTTGTAGTCCCACTGTTGTCATCTCTCCCATATCCTTATTTTTTATTATTATTTTTGCTTGCACTCCTGATTACTTGATTGGCTCAAATTTAAAGAGCAGAGAAAGGAAGATCAGCAAGCACATCTCATGTTCCTAGAGATGCAAGAATAATGACAGAACCATGTAATGGTTTTGCTGTCTCTTAATAGGAATTAAAAAGCCACAAAAAGCACAACCAACTAATTGCTTCTCTTTTGCAGTTGTGCTTGCACTGCCTTGATAAGCACATTTCCTTCTCAGAAACTGCAGGTGCTCCCTTTGTGTCTGCATAGAGCCAGGCACAGGTGAGAGCTAAAACAAGATATCCCTCCAAGCCCTCTTAGGGGAGCTGCAGGATTCAGAGCAGCACAAATGTTTATGAAAAATCAACCCAGAAATAGAATTCAAGAGGGAAGGTTTCTCAAGGGTATTAGACCAACTGAGAGGGAAATACACTTTCTTTCATTTCAGTCAGGTGTGCTAAATATTACATTCACTGCCAGGTGTGAATCTGTGATCTTGGGAGAGATGGTTTTTATTTTGATACCAAAATAGTTTTAAGCAAAAATGGACCTTTCAGTTTATTATTTACACGCTTCATTCATTTGGTTAGAACTCTTTTTTGCCTTTGATCAGCAGGAATAGGTACACACAGTTTCCCCAGACCCATGCAGAGGCACAGCCCCAAGGAGGGTCACTTCTGTTGGCAGCTTGCAGGGCTTTCCTGGGTGGGGTGTTGAGAATAAAAGGGGACCAATTCTATCTCTCCTGTAAGAGTTCTGGGTTTCTAATCACAAAAGAAACCTTTGGGAATCAGGAAGAAAGAGATAAAACTAGTTTTGCAACCAAAACTCTGCAATTGCTCCACACTAATTGGGACCTATAGCTTTACTAAGTTAAATATGAAAATGAGTTCTGTATCCCTGGATTCTTGGCTTCTCAAGCAGCCTTACATTTGTAGTTTCAAACACGTTGCAAAATTTGGTGCTGATGGTGCTTAGTAAGTTGGCTGCAGTGCCAGTCCCTGAATCCGGGAGAGGTGGCAGATGGACAGAACATGCTGCAGAGCCCGAAGAGCTGTGAACCTGCTTCCTCTGCCACACAGCTCTGGGTTAGTTTCCCTCAAATATGAGCTCCTTCTCAATTAATTATTTGATAGAAAAAGATGGTTTATATTTATTTAAATCAGACCTTGGATCAGTGCTGCTCCAAATGCGCTGCTGTTCCCATCCCCTCAAAGCTC